CACTCACATTTTTACCCCTATTTTCCCACCACTCCTTTTATACACCCCGTTGCTGTCCTTCCTCACCCCTTTATTTTTAACAAAATGTAATAAACTTTTTGACGATTTGCAACTAATATATGTTGTTTTTTTAAAGGTTATTTTAAAAGGTTAATAAAGACATAGAAATAGAGAGCATGGATCAGAAAAATGAGAGAAAACTAGTGTGAACTACAAAAGTTATGTTAGTTTAATGAATAAAAAAAATGAACTGCAAATACATTATAAGTAACACGTTTATGGACAATATCATATTATCTTCTAGTATACTTTCTTAGATACATAACTTTGCCTATTATTGTTCACTTGAGGGAGAGGTGATGAAGGAGATTTGAGAGGATTTTAAGATAATTTGTTTTTTACTATGTCCCGCGTCCCTCCCCGTCCTCCTCTAATTCTCACAACCTTTACTATCAAACTTCCCTGTCACTGCACCTCTAACTACACTTCCCGAAACAAAAAAAAGTATGTGTAAAGCGCTCAACGCCTGAAGCACTGCTGCGCCCAATCCAGTGAACACAACCTAGAACAAAGAACTACAGTAGGTAACAATGAATATATATACATTTCATCATAAAATCAAAACAAAGATGTATAATTGATTATATAGCTATTCAGAGTATACACTTAATTATATACAAAATATTTCAATTTATTCTACTTAGTATGACATAAAGTGACCAACAGCGTAAATGTTAGTATAGAAACATCGGGCACGTTTTTCTTCTTTTCTTTTCGCATTTTTTTTTATCAATTATTTTGTACATATCCGTGGATTTTATTTTATTTTTTTGTATTGTTCCAAGTAACCACAATTTAAAAAAAATAAAAAAATAAAAATTATCAATTCTCTTTTCTTTCATTTTTTTTCAAACATTTCATTTAAACTAAAATTAAGTTTGATCAGTAAGAATCCAGGAATATTACGTCAAAATATTTTAAAAAATACTCTTAAATATTTAGACTTAAACATTAACAATTTTAGATGATAGTATACATAAGACCAAAAATATATTAACAATTTTCCTGTGTGTCTGGGTTGCTTGCTGATCTTCAATTGTTGTTCTTCATATTCGCCAAAGGAATTGTTGTTCTTCATATTCGCCAAAGGAGGGGAGGTACCTGCAAAGATACTCCGACGCTCAAGTCAGGTATGAGTTATGGAGCTGAAGCTCAGAAGAGAGTAATTGGATACTGCTCTGAAATATTATTCAGGATCTCTAGAGCATAAAGAGAACGTACCTGGACTTGGGTCCTGTCACTGTATTTATAAGCAAAATAAAAATAACCACCTTACCTAAAAGTGTGGTTAGTGGCTTTGACTGATATTTTAACTGTCTAAAATATCTAAGATATTTATGTTATTACATAAATATCCTTACTACATAACACTCTTAAATATTTAGACTTAAACATTAACAATTTTAGATGATAGTATACATAAGACCAAAAATATATTAAAAAGGTTATATAGTTTTTTCCTCTTTTCGAAATTACCTTAAGCACCCTTTACCTAACCCCCACCAAATCCAAATAAGAAGTGCCAATCCAATATAAAAAAACTGCCCCACTCCTAAATCGTGTTCACACTATTCTCCTCCCAGCTTGTCGCTCCCCTAGATTAATTAATTCACCGTTACACACATAATCCATCAATTTTCTATCGCTACCTTAAACAAAATTCAAAGTAAAATTTATATATTTTTTCTAATGTGACTGATTTGTGATTGACAGCAGATAGGTGTTAAATTAAAACTGAAAACAAAGTAAAGAGACCCAGATTATTAAATTCATGTATTCAAGTGAGTATGAACACATAATCCACCGTAACGTACGTGGAACACATCCATCTAAATGTTATTTTCTTGCATCCTTCGCACACACGATTAAGGTTGTTTTTCTTTAATTAATCAAGATATAATTGAGAAGATTGAATCGGCTTCAATCACCACCACCTATAGTACGTAATATTAAATTGGGATGACAGTGACATATGAAAGTTTTCAAATACCCGTTCACACGGAGGTTTATCCCACGTTAAAAACGCATGGTCGGAAAGAGGAAGAGTGGCAAAAAAAAGCAGCTTCAGTGTATCGTACGTGTGTAGATGAAGAGAAAGCCGCAACACTGTTCATTATTATCTGCACAAAAACTGCAGCAACTCTGAGAGACCCGTGAACGTGAATTCGTTCGGCGAGAAATGAAGGAACCCACGACAAAACGCCGTAAGAAGAACGATGAGGGGGCAACCCGTAAGACGAAGAAGAAGAGAGAACTGAAGGGTGTTCTCAGAACAATCGTGTTCATGGATGGAAAAGAGAAAGACGAAGAAGAAAAAGAAGAACGCGAAAAAATGAAGGGCATGATCGATGGTTACTACAGCGAGGTGGAAGAGACCAATCCGAGAAAGAGAAACAAGGTCGGCGGTGACTCGGTGAGTCACCGGCGAGTTTGGGTGAAGGAGCGTTCGGGGGCGTGGTGGGAGGAGTGTAACAAAGCCGAATTTCCGGAAGAAGAGTTCCGGAAAGCGTTCAGAATGGGAAGGGTGACTTTCGAAGCGATCTGCGAGGAGCTGAACTCTGTGATTGCGAAGGAGGACACGACGCTGCGAAACGCCATTCCGGTGAAGCAAAGGGTGGCGGTTTGTTTGTGGCGGTTGGCCACCGGCGACCCTCTGAGCGAGGTTTCGAAAAGGTTCGGTTTGGGGATATCCACTTGCCACAAACTGGTTCTTGAGGTTTGCACTGCCATAAAGAGAGTGCTTATGCCAAAGTATTTGCAATGGCCTAATGCTGTTGTCTTGAGGGACATCAAGGGTGAGTTTGAGAACGTTTCTGGGATCCCCAACGTTGTGGGATCCATGTTCACTTCTCATGTTCCCATCATAGCTCCTAAGATGAGTGTCTCTGCTTACTTCAACAAGAGGCACACTGAGAGGAACCACAAGACTTCATATTCAGTGACTGTTCAGGGTGTTGTCGACCATAGAGGGGTTTTCACCGATGTATGCATNCCTCCTCCACCGTTCGTTCTTTTCTTTAATTTTGGCATTGCTTTGACCAACCCTTCACCAATTCCAAATGGAAATCAACCCAATTCATTTTTTTTTATTTATCTATCAAAGATTCATAGATATATGTTATAAATTCAGCTAAAAATATAAACTCATGAATACTTTTTTTTTTACTATAATTAATTCTAATAATTTAATTTAAAAAAACAATAGCTAATTTTTCACCAGTAGCACGTTTTTGTGGAGGATTTGTTTAAGAAAAGTTGCTGGTCCGTCAGACAGGTAAAGTGGGACAAGCTTGATCCAAATACAATTGATTGCTGACAAGGATATATTTTTTTTTAATAATAATATAGATTGAGACACATTTATTATATTTATATATATATATATAATTATGTGTTTCAAAGTATTATTTTTGTTTTATTTTTCTTTTTGGTTTAGAAAACTAGCCTTATAAAGTAATACCATATATTTTTAATTATATATATTTTGTGACAAAGATGCTTTTCGTTGTAATGATTAGTTAGTTTTATAATTACAACAAAACTCATCAATTTCCTGGAAAACGTTTAGTTGGCTAAGAAATAGAAGAAAACCTGAGTGTGCAAGAATATGTTTTTCTTGTTACACAAGCAATCATTTATCTTTTATTTTATGTTTTCTTTTACAATAATATATTTGAAATATTTTCTTTATATTATAAATAAATAAATACCTTTTGGAGATGAAAATGAAAAAAGAAATTGAAATGTAAACATTAACTATTCATCTTCAATTTTTGTTTATATATAAATTTAATTTAAACTTTGTTTTTTTTTTCTTTGAAATATTTATGGAGATGTGAAACACAATAGATCGGTCAAGTAAGCGTAATTGAAAATTAAAAATTGGTTAATATATCCTTGGATAGTCTTTAACTATGTTGAAAAAATTGCCAAAAAAAATGCATGTGAATGGTTTGGGTCTGTTTTCTTTCTTCCTTTTTCACCTGATTTTCTGAAATTAAGGGTTCAGCATTCATGATTTGGAGCTTTTCATGGTATGAATTGGAGAGAGAAATAGTGAAAAGTAGTGTTAATTGTTGAATTAGCATGTCAAAATGGGACCCAAAGGAACGTCTGAATGTGCATGCATGCTCCAAACTATTCAACTCTTTCATGCAATGCCTTAACAGACGCAACACCAGAAGCCTCCAAGAACAAACAATTAATTTGCAAAAATAATTAGACGTTAACTTAGTTATTTAATAAATAAATGAAATTAATAATTTGATTAAATTTAAAATAACGTATATTAACATTTCTTACATTTTGTTAAATTACACATAATGATGTCACTATTAGCACATTAATATTTTAACAGTTTAGCACAAGATATNAGGACACGACGCTGCGAAACGCCATTCCGGTGAAGCAAAGGGTGGCGGTTTGTTTGTGGCGGTTGGCCACCGGCGACCCTCTGAGCGCGGTTTCGAAAAGGTTCGGTTTGGGGATATCCACTTGCCACAAACTGGTTCTTGAGGTTTGCGCTGCCATAAAGAGAGTGCTTATGCCAAAGTATTTGCAATGGCCTAATGCTGTTGTCTTGAGGGACATCAAGGGTGAGTTTGAGAACGTTTCTGGGATCCCCAACGTTGTGGGATCCATGTTCACTTCTCATGTTCCCATCATAGCTCCTAAGATGAGTGTCTCTGCTTACTTCAACAAGAGGCACACTGAGAGGAACCACAAGACTTCATATTCAGTGACTGTTCAGGGTGTTGTCGACCATAGAGGGGTTTTCACCGATGTATGCATTGGGTGGCCTGGTTCGATGGGTAATGAGCAGGTGTTGGAAAAGTCGGCACTTTTTCAGAGGGCTAATAATGGTGGACTTAATCTCAGTGGGGTTTGGATTGTTGGGGGTTCCGGGTACCCTTTGTTGGATTGGGTTCTGGTGCCTTATACGCAGCAGAATCTCACTTGGACGCAGCATGCTTTCAATGAGAAGATTGGGGGGGTTCGGAGGGTTGCTAAGGATGCATTTGGGAGGTTGAAAGGAAGGTGGGGTTGCTTGCGAAAGAGGACTGAGGTGAAGCTTCAAGATTTGCCTCTTGTGCTCGGGGCTTGTTGTGTTTTGCATAATATATGTGAGTTGAAGAATGAGGAAATGGATCCTGAGTTGTTGAAGATTGATGATGATGTTGTTGACGATGATGATGATGATTTGGTGGTGGAGCCAGAGGTTCCCTTGAGATCTGTTAGCTCCTTGAAGGCTAGGGATGCAATTGCTCATAACCTTTTGCACCATGGACTAGCTGGCACTTCTTTTCTTTGATTATAATTTAGAATTGAAAACTTAAGGTTCAGATCATGTATGTATAATTAATTCTTTTGGTTGTTTTTTAATTTAGACATATAGAATTCAATCAAGGCATTCATCATTGTTTGTAGAAGGGGCTTTGTAACTAAAAGGTATATTTGCCCCTCCCACAAATATTTGATCAATTGTAATCGTTGGTGCCAGGTTTTATCTATAAGATTCACGTACTTGAAAGATTCTAGTTCCTTTAACTATCTAAACGAGAGATAATTTAGTAAGTAAAATCATTCTTCTGTGCTGTATTTCTCAGCGATTTAATAAAAAAAACAGAATATTCTCATTTATATTATACCATCCATTGCTTGAAAACAGAACGAATGTACCTCCTGCATTAATTTCTGGAAGATAGGAAAATGATCCTTCGCAAACTATCAACCGCTTCACTGTCCAAGCGAAACATAAAGTCTTCATGGTTTATGCTTAAACTAGAACCATTCTGAGTAGCTCAGTTTTTTAAATGATGCAACCAGAGAACATTTTCACTGTCCAATATGGTTGTAAGAAAAGACCCGGTACAGAAACAGAACAGTTTTTGCTAGTTACAAGTGATGGTAGCTAATACTTCTATGATGTTCTCTAACCCTGAATCCACATCTATACTTCTTTATTTGTTTGTTATACTTTCTCATTCCTTAGTTGAGGCAAAGTACTAAAATGATTGAATCAAACTTTTGTATATGATATGCAAAAATATATACGTTGATAGGAATGTACAAGCTGTAAGTTCACCTTGTAGTTACAGTCTTCACTAATTTTTATTTGACTTATTCGAGTCTTTTTATTCAGAAAAAAGTAAATTAATGACATGTAATTATATACTGTATAAAAATGAACAAGAATCATGATTAGCACATGATAATCTTGTTATCCAGTTACTCTAATATCTTCCCCAACACACCCCTTTGGGTGTGAAGAAAAGAAGTGCATGGCAAACACGTCGGCTTTGCATATTTAATTGATGGCTGACACGAATTAAGGGTTTTAAATGTTTGTGTGGTATTATTATAGTATAGGGATGGAAGTTAGTTGTTTCTTTGCGTTCACACTTAAGATTGACATGGTAAGCAAACAGTGACAGAAAAGAAAAGAGAAAAAAAGGAAATGAAAGGTTTGATTGGACCACATTGTTTTGAAAACTTAGCAGAAAGGTTAATATATTGAAAGACAAAACTTTGTGATGTGAGATGTCGGTGCACACAGACACAACTCTTAATGAATTTGATGGGAAACAAGTCGCTTTTACACACTAAACACAGCACGACACGAAATAACACTCTCACCCTCAAATACTGTTTCTGAATTAGATGGATACGGTCACTTTCACTCTCACCGCCAACTTCGGAACATTTTACTCTATACTTGCAATAGTGATCAAACACAACTTTTATAAATATGGAAAGACACGACATTAGTAAAATTTAAGTATAATTACATAAAAATTTAACATCATTTTTAATTTAAAATTTTAAAATGATGATTTATTTTTATTTAATATAAAATTTAGATTTATACTTAAGTTCTTAACAATAAATTTCAGACAATCGCCTCTGCTCAAGCCATTTCTACTCTAACTTTGCTTTTCTTCCACTCTCGTCATCAATGCTATTGAAACCTCTTCTATAAGAATCAATCTGAATGTTTCTTATATTAATTGCTTTACTCAAAAGTAAAATGTTCTTAATTTTGAACTATTTTCTAATATCANAACACAGCACGACACGAAATAACACTCTCACCCTCAAATACTGTTTCTGAATTAGATGGATACGGTCACTTTCACTCTCACCGCCAACTTCGGAACATTTTACTCTATACTTGCAATAGTGATCAAACACAACTTTTATAAATATGGAAAGACACGACATTAGTAAAATTTAAGTATAATTACATAAAAATTTAACATCATTTTTAATTTAAAATTTTAAAATGATGATTTATTTTTATTTAATATAAAATTTAGATTTATACTTAAGTTCTTAACAATAAATTTCAGACAATCGCCTCTGCTCAAGCCATTTCTACTCTAACTTTGCTTTTCTTCCACTCTCGTCATCAATGCTATTGAAACCTCTTCTATAAGAATCAATCTGAATGTTTCTTATATTAATTGCTTTACTCAAAAGTAAAATGTTCTTAATTTTGAACTATTTTCTAAAATCAATGAAATACATTAACGTGGAAGCTTTTTTAAAAGTCTAATTTTATTTTTTACCGGAAACATTTTTGAAACTTTACTTAGATCATTCAGATATGTCAACGCAATGCTAATAAAAATATTAATAATAAATAAGATTAAATGAATAAAAACTATTACAGATATTTTAACAATAGAAATACATCTCATTAATATTAGGAATTGCAAAGAGTGAAAAAAAGAAAAACACTTATAAAATTTAGTTCTTATAGTTTTTATTTATGTTAAGATGGATTGCCGTGTATATCACCTCTGAAGTGAGGTGAGTATAAATTTTAATTCAAAATAGAGAAGTATGGTATATTTTAGACAATTTTATTTATTTAAAATCTATTTGTTAAACTAATATTCATATATTTTAAGTGATACTTACTTTTAAATATTTATATACAAACAAATTTAAATATTGCATTAGTTAAACTATAGTACTATCAATCTAATTATATTACACCAATAAGCAAAACTAAATTTGAATTTTTCCTTTTTGCAACAAGATCCAAAGTCCAAAAAAAATAAATAGAAATAACGATACTACAATTGATTTCCATAATCCATAAACCAGAAAGATTTCTTACAGAAATACAAAGCTTGCTCTATTCAAACAAAGATACAGCGCACAGGTAGCGGACATAATACCACATCAACAATGATCATCACAGGAATAAGCTTTCTCCGTTGGCAGTCAGTTACCTGCACCAAAACTACAAACTCATAATGCCCAACTTACTACAGGGCAATATGACAAGAAAGATGTGACTAACAAGGTTTTCAAGCTCAAAAGTTTACATAAATTTGTAAGGCACAAAAAACTCGTAATAATTCACTTAATACGGTAATAATATTAAAAAAGTTATTAGAGTATCCAAAAGTAATCTAATATGACCAATTTCAGATATCTATAGTGGGAATAGCTTAGAGTACAATGAATGCAACAGCAGATAACAAATTCAAATTGAATGGATAAATTCACAAATTACAACATTTGTTAATAGCAGGGGCATAAACAGAACATAACTAATTCTTCCCATGATCCGGAATACTTATATAAAGGTGGATGCTAGGTTCAACTCATTGCTGCATTGACAACTAGGTTCGATGCGGAAAACAGTGAGGGATTCATTCAAACTAGGAGCATGAGATATAGCTGTTACGGATTGTTCAGGCTAGGACACAGCTGTTGTGGTGCTCATGAAACTTGGGATTTAACTCATGAAATCATGATGAGTGTTTACATTTGTATGCAAGGAGGTCAATTTGACTGGCCTAAAAGTCATTTCTTCAAAATATTTGGGTGATGTCACATGAGCTTTGCAAGACAGCTCAATACCCCCCCACCCCCAACAACAGTGTAACTTTAGAGATCCAGAATGCAGTTGAAAGAGTGCCTAATATATTCTAGGGCCGTGCATCCCATAACTCATTTTCTAGATTGTCAAACTACATAATCTACCCGAAACTTATGATGAGCTAGTAAGTGTAAACTCAGCTGATGGCAGTTTACATAATACAAAAATAAAGAAACCTTTGTACCCTTGTGCCAGAAGGCTTCTTGCTATAAGAAGGTTTACCTAATACAAAAAAAAAAAATTAAAAACGTATCATAGTATCCGAACACTGTTTAATCTAAGAACCAACGTTTCTGTAATGTGGATAACTTAAAATAAGTTTGAGCAACCAAAAAGCCAAGAATCAATAATTCAAAAATTACAAGACATATCATAAGAACAGAATAAGGGAAGTTAAAAATTTAAAAACACAACGTGAGAGGTTTGAAATTGAAAAAACAGAATGTTAGTTAGAAATAGAACCAGAGCTTTCAAGGGACTGCTCACAACAGGTTCACTTCATAAAAGACCTGTCATTAATGACAGATTGACAGAAGACCTTGGGTTCACCATGATGGGTTGAGTGACAATTGCTTGCTTTGATGAGTAGGTATATACTTTTTGTTCAATCCTACTATTTGAAACTTTGGATGTGTATGTAATGAAGAATTAACCAACCGTTTGGACGCTTAAATGGGGGTAAGATAATGGAGATGTAGAGAAAATAAAATTATTCTATTCCTTCACTTATCCAAACTGCGACCCTATTTCCATTGGGTCCTAAAAAATGCTCCCAACAAAGAGTTCCAATTTTTTTTCTCACTACATCCGTTCCTTTTCTGTTCTAAAACATTTCTTTAAACAGCTCTAATTGTTTTTTTCAAAGTCATGTTTGCTAACTTATGCTACCTAGGAAAGGCAGGTTTCTTGTATTCAATAAACAGTTTAATTAAACTTTCATAGACACTGGTGATAGGAAGAAAACAGTTTTCAACCAGCACTTGTAATATTATGAAAGGAAATTTGTGGCAAAATGATGAGACAAATTTGGGGCGGTATGAAGTCTCTTCAACCAAAAATTGCATTTAGTCGAAGCACAATGTTCCGTGGCTGTTTCAAGGGAGTTGCCATGTGTGATTTTGCCATGTAGCAGAGCTTTCCGGGTTTATTGTTTTTGGTTACTTTTCGTTGGACGAAGTCTTTCCTTCCAGCCTAAATGCATTTCTCTGTGTTTTAACGTCATACACATGAAGTTACGAGTAAGACCCCAACCACATACGAGAGTGTATTTTTGTGACTACATTAATGAGTTGTAGATCAAGAAACTTGTAACAAGAAAGAGATGAACTCAAGGCCATTCTACAATGAGAGCAAGAAAGGAACTAAAGGCAACCACTTGATGAAGCAGGAAAACATGCAAACACCAATGAAACATTAATGACAAATGACTCAATCTTGCCTAAAGCACAGGTATGGACATTCAACTCCGTAAACACCACAAATGGGTAAAACAACAATAGACCTACTCACATTTAAAGCTCTGTCAACTAATCCTGTAACTTGACATCCTACTGAAGAATGCAATGACCATTGCCTTGGTCCCTTCTTAAACCTGATGCGTACAGCCACAGTTTCTATTTCTTAAACAGCATATCAACTGTACAAATATATATATATATATATATATATATATATA